GCGCGGAGTCGCGCTCCCGTTCCCCGGGCAACGCGGGGCGGGACTTGCGTCAAGGGACCCGTGTGCGCGTGCGGCCGCCTCCATCCAGACGGGACCCTCCTAGGAGGCAGTTCCCGCGAGGTCCTGGTCCCTTCGGGGTAATTGGCGCCCCTCGCGTGACCCCAGGCCCTGCCAGTCACCAGACTCTGCGGCGGCCGCCCGTGCTGACCACAGGGTAGGCGCACCGAGCCCGCAGGCTGCATCCCCCGGGGGAGCGGGCCCGGGGAGCGGGCGATGGGAGGCCCTCCGCACGGCCACGGCCCTGCCAGCCTCCATGCAGCGCGGCTCAGTCCCGTCCACCGGCTTCCCACCCGCCAGCGCCCTCCCAGCCGCCCCATTGCGGGTGCCCTCCCGCATCTCACGCTCCCGGGAAGCCTCACGCCGCTCCCACCGCGCCCCCTGCTCTTTCCTGGTGCTGTCCCCGCGACAGAGTGGACAGTGCTAAGGCATGACACACAGAGCCCTCGCTGTAGACCTGCCTGCCTTCTCCGTTCTTGGCCCGTTAATCCGTCTAATCCCCAAATAAGCCTTTGACGATGGGGCACAGAGAAGCCGCTCAGCTAGTGAGTAACAGCCGGACCCACCCCAAGGCAGCCTAGCGTAGGGGTGCTGGGTCTCCCCAGAACAGGGGCCCCCCAAGGTCAGCTGACCACCGCTCCCTCCGTGACACTTAGCAAGGCGTCTGCCAAGCTGCCCTGCAGACTGAATGAGCCTGCCCTTCGGAGGCACGTGGGAGAGTCCCAGGGGAGCTGGTATTTTTGAATGAATATTTTTAGGGAAGCAGGCAGTGTGCTAAGTGTCTTAAGAGCATTATGTCATTGGATCTTCCCGTGGCCCAGTGAGGCAGGTACTGTTACCATTTCTGTTTTACAGAATGATTCACCGTGGCACGTGGCACAGCCAGGAAGCAGGCCATGCTGACGCGGAGCTGAGCAGCCCCTCCCCGAAACTGCACGTGGCCTGTGTTGGGCCCACGCCACAGGAGGATGCTGGGGGTGGGGTGGGCAGGGACCGATGAGTGGTGCCCCCACTGCTGGGGACTAACACCACGCCTCCCCTCACCCCCTCTCCTTGCTGTGGGCAGGGATGGAAAGTCCGAGCGCTGCCTTTCCCAGTCTCCTGGCCGCCATGTGTGGTGTGAGATCAGATCTGGCAGAGGCTTCGGAGCATCTGGCAGGGCCGGGGTCTGGACTTCTGAGAAGTAGGCGTGTGTGGTCAAAGGGGGAGTGCAGCTGGCTGCCCCTCCACCGTCTCTCCGTCGGGTCCTGGAACATGGGATACAGCCGGGACCGCTCGGCCACCAGACCAAGCCCAGTAACTGCTGACTTCTTGTTTCACAGCAAAAAAGTGAACCCCGTTTGCTCTCTCCTCGTTGGGTTTTCTGAACATGAGACCAACGATGTTCTTGAATGAAACATGTAGGCATGTACAGGGGGCTTCAGAGCAGTGCACCCCTCAAAACAAGTGCGAGGGCTGGTGGGTCTTCCGCGATGTTTTATTGTTTAAATGTTTTATTGTGGTAAAAGTACATATAGTGTAAGAATTACCATTTTACAAAGATACAGCCCTGAAGGAACACACCCGGAGGCCTGGCCCTTCCCCTGTCTGGCCCTTGGTCTTGGGCCAGTGCCTCGTCCCCACAGACCTGCCGCCTGTGCTCTGGGTCCCTCTGGGAGCAGTGACCAGCCCAGTGCAGTCAGTCACCTGTGGCCCCAGGCAGGGGCCCCACCTCTCAAGGCTGCCACTGCTTGACCCTGTAGTTGTTTGGGGGAGGGGGATCCAGAGAGGGGGTTGGCTGTGACCGTTGAGAAGGGGGAAGCAGGATGCTTGGCAGGTCCTGGGAGAAGGAGAGTGGGTGTTGCTGACGCCAATGCGGGCAGGCAGGGCTGATAAGGTTCTATTTTGGAGCCAAGTGGCTCTCGCGTCGTCAGCCTGTCCCTATGGGGATGCTCGACAGACGGCAGGGGGGCCGGTGGGAGGTCAGGGCTGTTTCAGCTCCTGGGTGCAGAGAGGCACAGAAAGACAAAGGTGGTGGAGAGGGAGGGGGCAGATGGGAGGGCAGCCTGCAGAGGGAGTCCTGTCCCCAAGGCTGCAGCCACCCCCTCCTGCCTTTGCCTCTTGTGCTGGCTCCTGGGGGGCAGGGCCCGTGGACAGGCACCAGGAGTCTAGATTCCTCACACCCCTCCTCACTCACTAGGCTGCTCTGTACTACGGGACACAGCACCCTCCTGTGCCAAGGTTTCCCCTCCCCACTCCGGGTGGTGCACCACTGCTGTGGCTCCAGGGGCTTTGCCACCTCAGGGTGGGCGACAGTCTTCCAGCTGCACCCCATCTATCCGAAGGTCCCTCCTCTGCACATTTAGTCAGAAAAAATGAAGCCAAGTGCTGTGGCAGCCCTGCCTGGGGCTGGGCCTGGTCCTGAGCTAAGTCAGTGTCCAGGGGGGACGCTGGGCAGGGTGGGGAGTACCTGTCAGGTGGGCGACTCAACACCACACCTGGAGGCTCAGGGAGACCCAGCTGCTGTCAGCATCCAGCCCACCCTGAGGGTCGCAGAGAGGAAGCTGGCATCCTTCACGCTCACTGACGGACAGTGCGTGGTCTGACCCCCAGGCAGCTCCACGTCTCTGGGGGCCTCCCCCAGCTCATGCCCTTCTGCATCTCCACACCCCATCCTTTGGCCAGAGCGACCAGAAGTGTCTGCAAGGCTCCCAGCAAAGGCAAGGGAGTGGGTTGGGCAGCAGGGTTTGGGTTGGAGCCTGGGACGGACGGTGGTCCTCTGCAAACCCTCGGACTGAATGTGAGCCCCTGCAGAGGAGGAGGCAGGGGCCAAGAGCCCACAGGAGCTGGGGTGGGCATCCTGGACACAGTCCCAGGGAGGGCCACAGGCTGGGACACCTGCTCAGGGGCCCTAAGGGAGTGGGGGGAGGGGTCTCTGGACCAAAACTTTTATGATCACTGATGAGCAATAGTCAGATAACTTCCAAACTCAAGTGTCAGTGTAGTAACTAAAATGACCAAGCCCCAGATCAAGCTCCAAACTGAGCACCTCTCTGGGCAGCCACTTTAAAGATCCAACTACAACTTCCACCTGACTGGCAGGTCCTGCAGCTCCCTTCTCTAGGAGGCCAGGATCAAGGCTCCACTGTTCATCCGACTCCCTCGTACTCCCAGTCAAAGAGCCCCAACATTTAAACTGATGTGGAGAGGATGGGGGGTGGGGGATGAGGGGGAGAGATCTTGTGCTCTGTCCAACCCGGTGTGAAAGGACGGTGGGTGTTCCCCTGCGTTGTCTCTTTTCTTACTGTTTCTTTAATAAATGGGATGAGAGGGGAAAACAACAAAAACCGAGCACCGCTCCCCCAAAAAATGCTTCCCTCCAGGACGGGGGGTGAGGTCGGCCCCTGTGGGGGGAGGGGAGTCTTGGGGGGGCAGGAGGCCGGCTCAGCTGTCCTTGTCCACACCAGGACTCGGCGCCCACTCTCCCCTCCACCATGGGCACTCTGGAGGTCCCTGCTCTCCAGCCCTGGTTGTGAGGTGAGGTGGGCGGTGGGACACTGCCGGCCTCTGTGGAAAGCCCCTCCCTCCGCAGCCACGGGACCCTGAGCCCTGAGCCTGCAGCCCGGCCCAGCGTTTCCCCTGCAGGTCCCGAGCCCCTCCTGGGGCCACGGTGCCTCACCTGCACTTCCAGGTCAAGTCTGGTGTGTTTTCAAATGGTTCCTCGGGGCCTTCCACGCGGCCCACGCACAGCCCCCCCCCCCCATGAGTTTCTTACCCCCCCACGCATCTGCAGAGACGGTCCGGGCTGTGCGCTCCGTCCCAGGAGGGCAGAGCGGGTGGAACTTCTGAGCGCCGGTGGGCTCAGGGCCAGGGCAGGGGTGGGGAGCCTTTTCTCTGCCAAGGGCCGTGTGGATGTTTATACCACCATTCGAGGGCCATACAGAATTACCCACTTAAAAATTAGGCGGCTACTTTTGGTCAAACATTTAATTAACTCGCCCCAATGCCTTGGCAGAGCCAGACCAGGTGATTTCGTGGGCCTTCTACAGCCTGCAGGCTGGACGCTCCCCACCCGTCCTAGAGGTTGGCCTCTGGCCGGATGCCCTCCCTCTCAGGCCTCAGTGTCCCCATCTGTGAACTGGGCAGTGAGGGAAGAACTGAGGGGCTGGTGGTCCCTGCATCTGGCCCTCAGCTTCCCTCCCTCCCCCTCCCGCACGCGCTCTCTCTCTCTCTCTCTCTCACACACACACACCCCTATCACAGAGAGGCCACCACACAGGGCTCCTGGGAAATGGCGTTTATTGAGGTGCCAGAGCATCGCCCTGAGTCTCGCCGCAGCCTCCGTCACTCCTCTTTCTCGTCCCCGTGGGTGATGATGTAGCACAGGGACTTGTAGTCGATGTCCCCAGCCAGGTCCACGGGCGTCAGGGCGAACATCTGCTCCACCTGGAGAGGGGGCGGTGAGAGGCAGCCGGCGAGGGAGGAGGGTATGCCTTGGTCCTCCGCCTTTGCAGGCCCAAACCAAAACTCTGAGTTAACATTTCCTGTTGTCTACTTTGGGCAGCCTGGGGAGAGGGTGGGCCCCTAAGGGGCCATGGGTCAAAAAGCCCCTTCTGGCCCCAGACACCCCTCTCTGTGCCACCTTCACCCCCGGTGAGCCCTCCTCCAGACACTGCAGGTGCCCTGCACACCCTCTCCCTGTGGACTACACAGTCTTCACCCTCCGGGTCTCCACAGGGATGGCATCTCCTCTGGAGAGCTGGGCTCCAAGGCCAGGAGCCAGGCGCCCCTGAGGCTCCCCAGTACCCCTGGGGTGATCCCCACGAAGGAGCCGGCGTCCTCACCTCGGCCTGAGAGAACTTGTCTGCCTGGGTCAGGAGCAGCTGCTTGAACCTGGGGAGTGAGGAGCAGTGGGAGCCTGGGGGTGGCCGCACGGGTCAGGGATGACGGCCCGTGGTCCAGAAAGCAGGGAGGGTTCCAAATAAGGGCGGTCCCCCTCCAGGCCTCCCCGCAGCCTGGCCAGCTCCCACTTACTCGTCCTTGCTCACCACGCCCTTGCCACTGGGGTCGAACATCCGGAAGGCGCTCAGGATGGCTTCCTCGGGGTCTGTTCCTGGGAGGCCGAGGGGCCGGGTGAGCACCCATGGCCCAGCCTCCAGGTCCACCCAGGAGGAGCCCAGGTGCAGGGAGCCCTCCACACCCCAGAAGAGGTGGAAAGGGGTCTCCGGTCAGTGTCCCTGAGGCTCAGAGGCCAAGAGGGAAGTCCTAAGGTGGACAGGTCTGGGGGGAGATTGGGATTTGGGAACAGAGACTGAAGACACATCGGGTCTGGGTGGGGTCCAGACGGGATGCAGGGGGTGGGGGGGCGTTCAAGCTCACTGCCCTCCGGGGGATCCCGACCTGCCCTGCTCACCATTGAGCTTCTCTCCGAAGAGCGTGAGGAAGACGGTGAAGTTGATGGGGCCCTTCCCCTCCTGCAGCATGGCATCCAGCTCCTCGTCCGAGACACTCACCTTCCCTGGGGGTGGGGGGGCAGGGGTGGGTACAGGGACCAGGTGTCCCAGGCAGGGCTCAGGCTGCCCTCCCCTCCTTCCAGCCAGAGGTGGAGAGCCAGAGGCAGCTGTGGGTGGGGGAGGTGGGGAGTGCAGGGAGGAGGAGGCCTGTCCCCCCTCAGCGGGCTCCCAGAGTGAGCAGGGGGCACACGGGTGGGAGGGGGTGTGCTCACCCAGCTGGGAATAGGTCTCCCGAAGGTCCGACTTGCAGATGATGCCGTCACGGTTCTGGTCAATGCAGCTAAAGGCCTGGGGTGGGGGCCACAGTCTCCAGTTGGGAGCAGCCCCCACCCCAGTGAGGGAGGCAGGAGGGAGTGCTGGGTGTGGGAAGAGCAGGGCCAGGGCTGCAGGGCCGGTGCTGGGGCGGGGCACTCACCTCCTTGAACTCCTGGATCTGGGCCTGCTCGAACATAGAGAAGACGTTGGAAGAGCCTCGCTGGGCCTGCTTGGTGGCCGCGGCCTTGCCCCGGGTCCCCGCCTTCCTGCTGGCCTGCAACATTGTGGGTGGGGAGGGGTCCTCTCCAGGGCTCCCCCAAGATGCCCCATGCACACCCCAGAGCCTTCCCAGGAGACCTGGGGTCAGGGTCCTCTCCCCACCCCTGGAGGCACAGAAGTCGCTGCCCTGCTCTCCCACCCCAAGGACAGCCCCAGGGTGCCACTGCCCTTGCCCCACCCTGGCCCTCACCATCCTCTCTCAGTGGCAGCCTGGTGGCCGAGGGGCCCGCAGCCTCCCTTATGTCTCAGCCTTATCACCTGCAGCACCAAATAAGGAGAGGAGGAGAGGACAGACCCAAACTTGGCAGCCCCTGCCTGGGCTCGGGGAGGACCGGGCCCAGATTCCAGCCACATTCCAGTGACCCTCAGGCCCCTGACATGTAACACCCGGGTGTCCACCATTCGGGAGGCGTGGGCTCAGGCCTCCTGAGAGCTGAGAGCAGAGCAGGCTCTTGGCTGTCACCACTCACGGTGCTGAGTGATGGGCCCCTGTCACCTCCATCTGACTGTCCCTCCTGCAGTCCAGCCCAGACCTGCCCAGTCCAAGAGGACAGTGGCGGGGGGGGGGGGGGGGATGGCCGGGACCCCCAGGGGCTCCCAGAGGCCTTGGTGCAGAAGCTTGGCCCAGCCTCCGGCCAACCCAGGGGCAGGAGGCGGCCCTGAGCTGGCTGTGACCCCAAACAGAAGCTGCATGTGAGGCTTTCGGAACAGGGCCTGGACCCCAAACAGTCACTTTCCTCGCCCCCACCCCCCTATGAAAGTGGGTCATGAGCCCCTGATGCGAGCTCAACTGCTGAGTGAGGGGTCAGGACAAAGGCAGCATGGCAAGCGGGCCTGGAGCAGGAGTGGCCCTGCTGCCCCCTGCTGGATGGGGCGAGGCCTGCAGGCGGCCCGGCTGTGGAGCAGGGCCTCACCGCTTTTGTAGAACAAGGAAATATTTTAGGGCACCTTCTTCCCACCCCTGAAAAGAAATTCACACAGAGCACTTGAAAAATTAATACCATGCCCTGCACTGTAGCCCCAGGACAGCTAGGCAGTGATTCCTATTGAAGGGCGCCCGATGCGTGGCCTCCGGACCTGGACGGGGCGTGCGTCAGCACGGGGAGGGAGTAACAGAGCTGCAAGAAGCTGGCGCATAATTTAGAGGCCAGAGAGCCAGCGGCCGGAGCAGCGCACCTGAGACCCGGGGAACGAGAGGACAGCCCGGCACGGCCTCTCACAGTCACATCGTCGAGTTAAGCTCCGAATGAAGCAAGTCATTCCAGATTCCCTGGGGCTTTCTCTCACTGGAAATCATACAGATGTGTTTCTGTTTAAGTGGGTTTAGGTGTGGGACGGAGGGACCCCCTGTTGAGGCAGACCTGGGGCAGGACCAGCCCCCAGAGACCAGTCCTGCCTCCTCCTGGGCACTTCCTGGGGCTACCGGAGGTTTGATCAGGGCATCCACACCCCAAATCCCACAGGCAGGTGGGGCCTGGGCACATCTAGGACCTCTGACACCACCCAGATGGCACCAGTCCTGCTCCCACAGCCTGGTCTCTTGCTCCGTGTTCTGTCCGCCCCCATCCCCACCCCCCCACCCCCCATTGCTGGCCGGAGGAAATAACAAATCAGTGTCTGCACACAGGTGACCACGTCTGTACACTGTCCCAAGTCCTTATGCACAGAAGTTAAAGAACGCGGACCAGGCCATGCTCTAAACTTTTAAAACTTTTAATTAAAAAAACCACCCAGTCCCATATTGGGCATGAAGAGGCTGGTGGTCCCCTGGAGGAGGTGTGGGTGCTGCTGGCTGGTGTGTGGCAGCCCCATGGCGGGGGTCCTCCTCTTCCTGGGTCCTTGACAGGGGCTGTGGGGGCTGGTCTCTTGCACCTCCTGTGAGCATCCATCCCTCAGGAGAGGCGTGTGGGCGGGAAGAGGCTGCCATCCCAGGCCTCCTGGTGCCTCCGTCTCCACCCTGAGCTGGTCCCTGCCCCCTCTCTCCCCTGTCTCCAGGCAGAAGCCCACCAGGCCTGGGTGGTCAGCAGCCCTGTGCCGTGGAGCGAGGCGGAGATCTGGCCAGGTCCCTGGGCTGCCTCCCCATGTGGGCGGAGTCCCAGGGAAGCCGGGCCACAGCAGGGTCCACAGGGCACCCCTCCCCAGGGCGGGGCCCAGGCAAGGCTGAAGCAAGCCAGAAGCTCCAACTAAGTCCTGAGCGAGCCACTCCCTCCGGGTGGTTGATTCCAGCAGAAAGACAGGAGGCTGGGCATCTCCGTTTCTGCTCCTTGAGCCCCCACCCCAGGCAGGGCCCGGAGGCTGTCCCTCCCGCTGACTCGGGAAGCCTGGCGTCTCCTTCGTGCCTTCCCATCTCCAGGCGGCAGCGGGTCGGGAGGCAGGCCAGGCTGGGGCTCCCGTGGGGACTCTGTCCCCTGGAGCCTCCTCCGTGCCTGGCCGCCGCTGTCACTGGCCCAGCATGTACGCCTTCTTACAGGCCACCGCGGAGACCAGGGCGGCGCCGCGGCCGCTGCCGTCCTCCGACTGGATGAAGGTGATCTCGCAGCTGGGGGTCAGCCTGCGCAC